GGAGCCAGGAGAAGCTCCATCCAGGAGCTGAAAGTCTCCACGCCGCCTGTCGCAGTGACTGAGAGATACCGAGAGACAACAAAAGCCTGAAGTGCAGAGGGAAGAGGAGCATTACCAGAATATTAGATCAGTCTTCATAAATTAAAAACTGGTATTGTGAATTCATAAATCTTCTTAAGAATAATGTAGTGTCAGTTACGGAAAATCTGAGAGGATAGAGTAATGGGTTTGTATTTTTAAAATCTCTAAAGTAGTCAGGTTTCATTAAAATCAGGAAATACCTTAATGCGTCCCTTCCAGTTATTTTTTATGTATTGTCATTAGCCCAGTTTGGCAGGTTTTTTTTTCCCCTTTGATTTGAGAGGAAGCTTGCTTGACTGTTGCCAGGCGATAGCTAATTGTGATATTAACTGCCAGCGAGCTGCTGGCAGGGATTGTGCAGGCTTTTTCCTTGTTAACAAAATGCAGTGTTAGAGTTGCAGCAGTGCATAAATGCTTTCCTATCGCTCAAAATTGGTAATGCGAGTGGCAGATGCTTCAACGTAACTGCAGCGCAGCCAGATGCACGGCACCGAGGCCTCCCTGCAGCACTGGGTAGGTACCAGCTCCTGGAAGATGCAGCTCAGCACGGACATCCAGGCTGGGCAGAATGCTGAGTGTGATTTGGCAATACTGCAGGGATTGAGGAGCACTGGAGGCAATCTGGCAGCACGAGGGATGCGCCTCTCTGCTTTCCCATTGACCACTGGAGAACCCAGGTTTTTTGGCCTGAAGTGCTGCTCACCTTGAAGCACTGAAGGATACTGTATTCCCAGAAAAACATTCTTCCAACGTTTTTGTCTCAGTTAGCTCTTCATCCAAAGCTGACTTCTCAAGAAGTGGTACGTATCAGAGCCTTGTGGCTTGGCTGGGAGTCCATTAGAACCTTCTGGCTGTAGGCTGAGTCCAGCTTGCCTCTGGAGCTGAACACACATTCCAAGAGCAACATTCCCTGCTGCAGATGATGCAGGGTTTCATGGACTCCAGGCAGACAAGAACACCTATTGCTATTTGCTATTTTGAATGTGAGAATGATTGTACTATTTATTTTATTTTATTTCATTTTATTTTATTTTATTTTATTTTATTTTTTTTATTTTTTTTATTTTTTTTTGCTTTTCAGAAGCTTTTGTAAGTGGATTTCCCAGCCCACAAGAGGCTCTGCTGGTTGCTTTGAAAAGGCAACTCGTTTTTTCTAAGTTTGATGCCTTCCTTGGGCATCTTCAACTCACTGGTTGTCACAAGTGCAGGTGAATCTGTAGTAAGAAATTTAGCTGTGGAATGGGTTGGCGATGAAGGCCCTGCAGCAATGCCTTCACTCCTGGGAGATTCAGTTCCACTACTGAGCTGAAAGTGCTACCAGCCCTAGGCAAGGGGTAGCCAACGAGCTGATGTTCTCCAGTCTCTCCTCAGGTGTCGTTGTGCTGCTCAGGAAGGGGAGAGTTGCATTTCTTCCCACCACAGCTTTTCACAAAGCTGCTGCCTTGGCCTAGGTGTAGAATTGCTTCAGTCACTCATCTTTGCAAGGCATTCGCTGGGCGAATGGTTACCTCTTCTGTGCTCTCCCTCCACCTCCTGTTGCACTTTGGACGGGCCAGGAGCAAATGCACTGCTCTCCATTTGCTGTCTCTGTGTTTTCATCAGCCCTTAATTGTGGTGTGCAGTCCCACAGAATTGAATTTGTTTTGAGTTTTCAGTTGTTAGGGGTTTTAAAATCTGTTAATCAGACCCTTCTGGCATAGAGGCCTGTGAGAGATTTTGGCACGTTTGTGAAATGCTGCAGCTATTAAAGAGAATTCATACTGTGGCTTTATTTATTTTTTGTTTTAGTGCTTGGCTTTAGGAACTACTGTCCCCGTGCACTCCATGTGTGCCCAGGAATGGCCAGGCAGCTCCCAGCAAAGCTGTGCCCAAACCCTGGATTGTTTCAAGTATTTCAGCAAAGCAGCATTTTCTAATGGAAAAGCTTTCCTTCACAGCATCCCTGCTACCCCTTCTGGCTGAGGCAGCTTCCTGTGCTGGCCCTGCAGCACTGAGGGTTCCTGCTGGTTGAGTCTCCAGAGGGATAACTGCCTCCAGCAGAAATCCAGGCCCACTTGTCACTTGTAGGCATTTGCAGCAAATTGGTGCTTCTGCAACAAATGCTGGTGCACTCTGGGGTATTCCTTTGACTGAGGGTGTGCTTCAAGTGACCGTGTTTTCTACAAATCAAACCAATGGTCCTTGACAGGTAACTGTTGAGGTTTTCGTATACCCTCTTATCCATTAGCTGTGCTAATTAGTGTTCTTTCAAGATGTTCGTTTGCAATTTCAGCTCTTTGCTATTGATCCAATCCCCAGTGAAGCACACTGTGCCTGTCTGGTTAAGGGGTTAAGTCAGTCCAGACCCTCACGGGTTGCAGGTTTTCCTGCAGCAATGCAGTTCAAACCAGTAGCTGCCTTTCTTCACTAGTGTTGCGGGGATGGATTAGAAATGAAATTTGACTTCAGTCAGTGTGTTTATTTCATCAGGTTGGAGAAGAACTCCACTGTTAGTAATGCCAACTGCATAAGCATTAATCTTACAGCACATATTGATTGCAAATGGAAGTTCATAAAGCAGGTTTCATATTTTTATGTCATAACAGAAGCAGTCATGATTCTCCAGTCTCTTACAGACTAAACTGAAGGAACAATTCATTTGGAAAAATGCCTGGGATGGACCCAGTGTTTTTTTTTAATCATAGATGGTCTTTAGAAGAATAAAGTTTTTAAAATGATTTCTTAATCTGGTACAGGGAGAAGCAGCTTCTGAACACATTAAAGTGAAAGATAGCTTAACTCTCATTTCTCAACTTGAAATACGTTTTAATAATTAATGCCATCTGAGACTTCATAGGCAAAAGTTTGGAAATGGAAAGATGATTTCTCCAGTGCTGATCCGATGTAGTTGAACTCCAGCAAAGCCCCACAAACACAGAAGTTGGTTGTTTGAAAGGCTCAACCAGTCACTGCCGATGTTATTTACATGCTTGAATTCTTCAGCTTCCTTCCCTGGGAAGGCATAGTTAATTTCCTCAGTTTGCGAGTTTGTACTGAATCAGATTGGAGTTTTTGTTAAAAAGAGCCTTGGGCCTTCTAATTGGAAAATAAGAGAAATCACTACTGCTTTGTTTCTTTGGTGGAGACATTTTGTCTATTCAAATATATGGTTATCCCTCTGCTCTTTAACCCACTCCTACCCAGAAGCAGGCAATAGCCTGGGTTTTTACCACTGCTCCAGTTTTCATCTCCACCAGCACTGTTTGGATTTGAAGACACGTGGAGGTGCAGCGCTGCAAGTCCTCGTTGCTGAGGCAGCAGTGGGTGAAGTAAGGGTGTGCAGGAGGGGGACTATGTAGGGTGCAGTCAGAGGGCTGCTCCACCACTGCCCACTCGCAGCCTGTTGGCTCCTGCCCCACACATTGCCCCGGACTCACCGTGATAGAAAGCATCGAGCCTGTTTGCAGGAGCACAAACGCCCTCAGCAGCCCTTGACCTTTGTGTGAGCTGAGGAGCTGCACTTGAGGAGCTGGCGCTCGCTATAGGAAATGCAAACAGTCGGTTATATTAAGCCCTGTGAAGTGAGCGTGTGCATTCAGACAAGTGCACGCCCCAGTGCACTCTGGCGCTTCTGAATGTAGGCCTACTTAACTTCTTTTTGGTCGTTTCAGTCTTGCTCTCTGTGTCTTTGAACTCCCCTTTTTGTTCAGGAGTATTGAAGGCTTTTATTACTCTTGTAATTGCCGTGGATCCTTTCATGGTCTGTATTTTAACACTTTATTGAAATAAGCCGCGCACTGAAGTTTTTGTATGTTAGCACAAGAGTCTGCAGAATGACTGTAAAAGTAGTGGGTTTCTTTTCAATGTGTGGCGTTTTATCAAAACTTTGCTCATTCCGTGAATGCAACAGGCAGCATCTGCTTTCCATTTTGTTGCCTCGTAGTGGTAGACAAAGGGCAAAGGTAACAGCAGAAATGGCGCGTGGGGCTTTGCAAAGGGCAAGGGGGATTACCTGCAGAGGCAAAGTTGCTTTATATTGATCTCAATGAAGGATATTTAGTCTCTTGCTTTTAATTTCTGCTAGAATTTGGGAGCAGGGCACTTACTGCTGTACTGATTGTGTACTTTAGTGATAGTAACTTCAGTAAAAACTTTGTGCAGTAAAATGCATATGATTGTCTTCAAGCTTAGAGGGCTTATTTGAAAGCCTGTTTCCCAACCATAGGGGAGGTCCGTGGAAGCCTGTCCCTTCCACCTGCCTCAGCAATGTTCTAACACCTTTTCTATGATTTTGGCCATTTCTCATAAGCATTGCCAGGCGCTTTCCTGGGGTGCTGAGCTTGGCAGGAGGATGGGCTGTCAGATCTGCTTGGTTAGGGAAGGAACAAGGTGTTCATTTGGGGGTTCTTGCTTTATTTCCATGGGGCCAAGCGTGCTATGAAGGCACATGGCTGGAGCTGCTGGTGGTACTGGGCAGCATCGTGGCTGGTTGGGGAATGTGGAGCATAGAGATGAGGGCTGTGTGGCTCTGGTCGGGGTCTCTGACTGATCTCTGAACCCTAAGCTCCCTGTGTTTTAGTGGATGGCATGGAAAAAAGGCAAATAATTTGCTGTACTGAGAATTCAGAAAGAAATTGAAAAAATTTTGAACTTGGTTTGTTTTTTATTATTATTTATTCCAAATAACCTTTTTCTTTCTTCCTCTAAATGAGAGTGTGGGTGTGTGCTGTGCTGAATTGTTCTTCTTATGAAGAGAATGCATCTTGAATAAAATCAACCTGTTTTTAAAGAGAAATTTTAGACTCTTGCTTGAAGGCAAAAATGCCTTAAAGTTGCATTAGCTTCTTTAGTAAAAACAAAATGAAATTCGTATAAATAGTAACTTATAATTATTTAATGTGAATGAGATTTTCTTTACACTTATTTCTTATTACCTTTAGCACATCAGGTCCACCCATTTGGCCAGGAAGCACCTTTTTCAAGAGAAATGGAGCTCTTCTGCAAGGTAGGTGATGGATGCTACGTCTTGGAGTAACTGTTCTACTTAATTTATACCTCTGCTTGCAAACTGGACAGTTTCTGTAATATTCACTGGGCAACAAGTAACCAACTGTTTTTGTTTCCTTTGATCTGTTTCCTTTACTGCGCATCTGGTGCCTTGAAAATGATGATTCACTACGTAAAGTGAGTGTAGTCTATAAAAATGGCTGCTTTGTTTCTTTCCTCAGATTATTAATTTGCTTACGGCATAGTATGGCAAAGGGTTTTTGTGTTTTTTTTTTTAACCTTTGTGGAATAAAGGATGTCCAGAATGAAATGCTCCAGTAACACTGCTTTTAGTTGTGTGAAGCAGGGCCATTCTTTGGGAGATGTCCTTTCTTTTACCCCCTGGTTGTGCTTTACCTAAAGGTGCCCAAAGGTAGGTAGGGGTGCTGTAGCAGATAAGCAGTAGCGGAGTATCTGTCTCCAGAAAGCTACCGTGTGTAAGGGTGCTTATGTTTGCAGAGGAATTTGAAATATCTTTAGATGGATAATACCATTACTCACTGCAAAGTGTGTTTATATTTCTGCTGCTGAACACATGGAACTACTGTCATTCTTATGGGAAGTGCCTTAAGAGCACAGTAGGCTGTTACTCCAGACTCTATACGTTTGTGTATGGTGCAGAAGTAACTAAGACCATTTAAGAAAATTTTAAAGTCTTTGCCAGCAGCTGTCCATGAAGTGTCTTAATTTTGTGTTTATTCACATGATGGCTTTTTTTTCTGGCAGAAAATGCTGTGTAATGTCCTCTAAACATTTATCTGAGTTACCTAAAATGAAACCTTACTTGTAACTAGGCCCACAGGTGAATCATTGGCAGGCAGCACTGCTCACCTTCTGCACACCAACCTAGTCCAGCATTTGTTGTTCACCTGAAAATATTTTTCAACTGATTCCTTGCACATATCTAGGAGTTTGCATCATTCTATTATCTAATACTTATGCTGAGATTTGTTCATACGTATTTTAGATACATTAAGGCACTTGGATTATTTCTTAACAGTATAAATTGTAGAGCTTGGCAGCCTTTGAATTTGAATTCAGTAGGGTGGATTTGCTGTCTTTGCAGTCCTGAAATTTTGTTGTTGGTTCCTTTTTTAAAGAAAAAAAGCAACTATTGTGAATAGATAGGTTTCATTTGGATGTTCAACAGTTCTGGTTTTAAATGTCTGCTTGCACATATATGGTTTTTGTGATTTCAATTCATAAAATGTAAGCTGCTCTGTCAGGTTTGTATGGCTGTGTTTTACTTCTTCATATGATGCAAGATGTCTAGGAGTGAAGTACAGCTATTTTTGTAGTCCTCGCTGCCTCAGTTGTTGCTCAAAACCTTCTGCCAATAAAAAAGCGTGCTGTTCTCCACTCTCTTCTACTCTTCTATGTCTTTTTAAATAAGAGGGAAAAAAAACCCACCACCTCATGTTAAAGAAATAGAGAAAAAGAGGGAGATGACTGCTTTTTCAAGCAACTAACCTCAAGACCTGTAAGTGAGTTGGCATCCTGAGTTGCTGTTACAAGTGTAAAAGCGAACCAATTCAAATGCATGACCCAGCAGTGAGGCTAGGATGAAAGTGTGAAGATAAAACTTCTGAATGTTGTCTTTTAGTACTTGGTTATGATTGTAAAACAGCAATATAACAAAGTTGGTTGGTTTTTTTTTTCCTTTCTTTCTTTTGTTTGTCCCAACAATGAGGTCTTCCATGCACAGACTTCAGCAAGTTGCCTGGGAATAGTAAATCCACTTCTTTGCTGCTTCTGTCTTTTCCACAGGACTTGTGTAGAGGAATGCTAGCTCTGCAGGGAGGTTGAAGGTGACGGGGTGGAGAGATTTGTGAAGACCCACCTTACATGGCCATCTTATGTCTCTTCTGCCAGTGCTTAATTCAAATGAAGGAATGAAACGTTGACTTACATACCAGTTTCAGGTTATATCACTGCAGTTTGATTGGCAAAAGCTTAGGTAACAAATTTTACTCAATAAGTATTTTGCTACTTGTGAAAAGAAAGTTCAGTGAGTGTTACAGACAATAATATAGAATAATTCTGAAATTTTAGTAAATGTAATATGTGTGCTTGTCATACCACATTTCTTCTGAGTTGTTAAAGTACTATTTTTTTTAGCCAAGGAAGACTAGCAAGCACTCCTGATTTCTATTTGTTGTATACTTGGCCTGTTTGGCAAAGTAAACTCAGCCATAGTGAAAGATTTAATGTACTTCTCCAAGGATCAGGAGAAACCAGCTATCTGTGTACCTCAAAACTGCAAATGAGGAGAAATGGGTGCTAAAATTCATTATGGCAATTCTGTGTCCTTACAGTCTTTGATGTGAGCAGGATTAATTCTCCGTTCCTTTCTGTCTTGTACTTTGCTGAATAATTTCGAACACATCTCCCAAAATATACGTGCTGTGTTCATTTTGACTGTAATTTTATTGGGTATGAGATAGCTACCTCAGTTTCTTTTATGAGGATCATGGTACTGCGGTTCCAAGCATTAACTTTCATATCAAAACAAACAAATAGTAAATCTACTGTTGAGTAAGTTATGAGTGCTATTAAAAATGGTGAGCTCCTTCTACTAGAGGAGAATTGTACCCTAGTATAGTTTTGCTCTTTGGTTTTCTCATGAATCCCCATGCAGTATGTAATGCAGGTAGGACACCAGCCGTACCAGGTTTTAATTCCTCCTCTCAGAGCTGATTTGTACATCCAAGGAGCTTGCTGCATTCTGGCCTTCAGGATTCCCAAGACAAAGAAATACAGCATTTTGCTCTTACTGCTTTACCTTTCCTACGCAGGAATTTGTAACTCATTATTGTACGTGTTGTGGTGTTTATTTCAAGTCATAGCTTTTTTTTTCACCTTCTTTATTGATAGCTTTTGTTCCCACTGGTTTTTCCTGTTTTCATCTGTCTTCACATACCTCTTCTTATTTCATAAAATGCTTGACATGAAGAAGTCTTTAATGTAGATGTGTACTAAACTCTTCAGGAACTTGTGCTGGGTGAGATAGGTGCGGGTGTATTCTCATTAATTGGAAGGCTTGAAAGTAATGCACTGTGTTCAGATTAGATCTGTTTTATGCGTGGATCTTGAGTTTTAAGCTTAGGATATGGCCTTGAGGATGCAATTGTTCACAAACCAATTGCAATAATAAAACTGTTTTGCTCTCAATATATGTAATAATCTCCCAGAAAAAATTAAAAATGCATCTTTAACATAACTTTTAGTAGCAGTCATACATAAATTTCAGTTGTGAGAGTGCCACCTGTGTAAGAAAATCTGCCTGGTCTATGGAGAGCTTCCGAGCCAGGTGTCAGCCGTAAGATGAAGGTCTGTGAAGGTCTGTGGAGAGCTTTTGTTTATTTCTTGAAGAGAAAACTTTCATTTTGAAAAAAAAAAAAAAATCACACTTGGAACTCACTGTTCTTTCTTTTATTTGTTCTCACACTAAAACTAAACACAACGTATTACTTTGTATCAAATCTTGTATCAAATTTATTCTGTACTGAGTTTCAAGGAAGTGTCCAGTGATGGTGCCTGTGGGTATAATTACAGCTGTCCTGAAAATAGGACGCTGTGCTTTGAAAGTGGATGTTTTTGGATGCAGTTCCTACTCTGCAGAGGACTGTAGCAGGAGTGTAAGAGCTGCAGAAGCTGCCCTGGGAGATGCAGGAACCCCATGGCTGGTCAGCACAATGGCAGCACTCTGTGCTTTAAGGCAAGCATGTGTGTGCCAGGTGTAATGCACTTCTTGGGTCTTAGGTTTCTGGCCAAAGGTCATCAAAAGCACACCTTTGTGGTAGCAGGGTGAGTGACTCTTCGTCTCCTAGCGTAAGGAAGTGACCCTGGGTCATCTGTGTGCTATTGCTCATGAGACAGGGTGCAGAGATGGTTCTCCTCACTGTGACTGGGTTGCCACCTGGGAGTGCAGATTCAGCTTTACAGAATCACAGCAGTTTGAAGCGACCTCAAGAGATCATCAAGTCCAAGCCTCCCGCTAAAGAAGATGCCCTACAATAGGTTGCATAGGTAGGTGTCTGGACAAGTCCTGAATATCTCCAGAGAAGAGATCCAGAGCAGATGTTCCAGTGCTCCACCACCTTATCATATAGAAGTCCTTCTGCATGTTAGTACAGAACTTCCAATGTTCCACCAGTTCTGGTCAGCTGGGGGTACAGCTGTGATCTCTCCATACAGTCTGCTTATATTGTGAGCAAGTTCATCCACTTGCTTTGCTGATGACCAGCACTATTTAAATCTGCTGCTTGTGGATGCAACATCAAAGTCACATACTGTTGTTCTAGAGATGTCAAGTGTTTCTTATGGACCTTGGCTTACATCTGCACTCAGGATTGCTGCATTCAGTGAGCTGCCATCCTTTAAGTGAGCTTTCCTTTAGTGAAACCTTTTTAATAAGAAAGGGGAAAAAAAGATTGACAAATTCGTCTCCCATTCGCTAAGCATGAGAGGGAAGGAGTGAGGAGTCCTATTGGTCTCACCTGGCTGGGAAGCCCCAAAAAGCAGGGGTTGTTTTCCCCGGGCCTCACTCGCTGGTTTAATTGTGTACCACCAGCTGCGAGAACAGGCATCCTCATTCACCACGAGACACCTCCATCTCTGACTGATGCTTCCACCAATGTGTGCACAACCAGCCTTGGTCCAGCTGCCCTTGCTGTAGCTGGTGACGGTGGGCACTGCCTGTGGCAAGCTGTTGAAGGAGGGAGATGGAACACGCCAGCAAATATCACCAGGACCAGAAGGAGACAGAAGCTGGATTTTTTTGCAGAGCAGACATTGGAAACACTGGTCACTGCTGCACTGCTGCTGCAGACGGGGCATTGACCATCGATTCCCTCAATCAAAGATGGTGGCTTTCACGTTTTAATGTATTGATCTCCGATATGACTTAACATAAGACTTTCTGGAGATGGCCAAAGCATGGTAATATATTTGAGAGAG